AGCATGGCTAGTTAGACAGTCCTGATTAAATTTGTCCTCTCATCCCTCCCCTCTTATTTCATACGAACCATGCTTATTCCTAAGCATGTTCTCAAGGAGATGGAGAAGCATAGTAGAAACTTCTTGTGGACTAACAATGATAATAGGAGAAAGAAGCATTTGATTTCTTGGAACACAGTCAAAGGGCACAAATTTGTAAGGGGGGCTTGGGATTAAAGACCTTGTGTTGCAAAATCAAGCTTTCATCTTTAAATTGTATTGGGAGCTTATCACTAGACCTAACTGTCTAAAGGTCTAATGCATTAAAGCTAAGTACAATTATGGTGAAGATGAAATTATTGCGGTTGAAAAGTAGAACTTGACTTCTCATGTTTGGCATAACATTTCAAATTTGTGGGACACTTTGCAAGGGGTGCATAAGAAAATCAACAACGACACCACTATAAAATTCTTGTGGAATTATTGGGCTCCTCTTCAACAACCTCTTATTAAGTATGTGACTACAAATGATCAGAGTTTGACTTCGTACACCTTTCTGGTATTTGGAACAAACATAAATTAGGGAGATAATTTTCTATGAATATCATTAATAAAATTGTCTTTGTTAAACCTCAATTGAACTGGCATAATGATATGTTCTAGTGGTAGTCTGTCAGTGATAGTAGGTTCTTGGTTAGAGTAGCTTATAAATTTTTGGAAGGTAATACAACTATTACTAATAGTAGGATCTAGAGATGCATGTCGATGTGGTCACTCTCTTAAAAATTGAAAATTTTCTTCTAGAAGGTCCTTCATGGAAGACTTCCTAGTCACCTCCTGTGAGTGGAGAAAGGAATCATTGTTGATGCCTAGTGCCCTTTAAAGTGCAAATGTGATGAGAGTATAATGCCTATTTTGAGAGATTGTGTGAGAGCAAAAGTAATATGAAAGGATATCATAAACCCGGTTTATTATGACCATTTTTCTTACGCAGCTTGTAGGAATGAGTACGATGAATGCCACACATCAAAGTAATGGTAGAAATTTCCGACATTGGCCCTGGACAAAAGTACTTGGAAATATCTGTTGGCTTATCTAGACTAACAAATGCAGAGATATCTTTGAGAGAACTAATAATAATGACAGTGACATCATTCATGCTTGCCGAAGGAGATTAGTGGAAGAAGGTGACTTTGGACATCTCACAATGCAGGGACCTGACATGGGAGATTCCTCTTCTCACAGAGGGTCGCCTCCTCCCCCTCACACTGTTCCAGTCGAGGTAGATGCGTCCCTCAATCTGCAAAACAGTGCTTCATGCGGTGGTCTGGCCTGAGATGCTTCTGGTGAATGGGTACATGGATTGATGGAAAATTTGGGATATATGACGATAGCCATTACCGAGATCAAAGTCAATAAAGGTCGTTTGAATTTATGTCGTTGTCTGAACATAGAAATTAAAAGGCTAGGATTTACATGGATTCCCTGGGTGCGATTAACCTCAATGTATAGAAGTGTTAATGGTGATCATCCCTTTTCCAAGGACACATCTGAAGCGCACGAGCTTATTAGTGTTCGCTGTGACTATAGCATACACCATGCTTCTCTGGTGGCCAATACTTGTGCGGATTTCTCACCTAGACAGGCTCGTGATTGGCAGAATGAATTCATGTTGTTAACTGGACCCCCCCAACCCCCCAGTGGGTGTGAATCTCCTATTTTGCTTGACTAAAGAGGGGGTCTGTCCCACTTGCACAAGGCCTCGTTAACTCTAGCTGATCGCTAGCCTACTTGATGAGAAAAAAAGAGAACGGCCGGAAAAAAAAAAAGCGGTGACCTTCACTGTTCAACTAATTCGGCTCCATTGTCTGTCATTTTCAGAGTTTTCCCACTTTAATTTAAGGTTTTTCTAATCGTGTTTATCTTCTGTACCTAATTTGTCCTTTAAATAACAATATTTAGCAACATGTTTTTCTCGAAAAATCGTGGTTAGTAAGATCATGGACCAATTGCACAGATGACTTTTCTGAACTGGCCGTGTTTTGTTTATCAGCCATAAAGAATTATTTTTTGTATGAAAATATCTAATTATTTAGTAGCAATAATTCAACCAGGGGAATTCGGACATTTATTATAAGGATGATTTTGTGTTTCTCTTGAAAAAGAAATGTTTTCTTTCTTTTGTTCAGTAATCCCTCACTCGCAAGACTTTGTATGTTATACGGATCCCACCAATTCTCTGATTAAACAGAGCAAACCAAGCGAATCTCGAGGACCATGCACTTTCCCAAAGGATGGAATCTATATTCTTAAGTACAGATAATTAAACTGTGTATTTGACGAAACCAATTTTTTTTTTTTTTAGGAAAATACTCGAAATATATTGTTGAAAAATTTCTGCCGATGTATCTCTAGCTACCTTACTGACTGACAATAACTTAAAATTGCAAAAACTTGCTTGTCTATAGCGACTTAGCGAGTATTCAATACCTAACCATAAAAAAAATTCAATTTTTTTTGAAGGAATAATAATTTATTTATGCATTTAGTAACATTCGTTCTTTTATTTATTTATTTAATTATTTGGTATATATATTGGATATCTTATACTACTAATGGACCACGTTTGACTTTTGTCAGGCCTAAATAAAAACCAGTTGTCTTAACTTGATCCTTTTTTTTTCTAAAAAATTCAAATTACATGCATGGATATATTTGTGTTAGCTTGTTCAACTGTGATTTAAATAAAGTTAAGTTTAATAATTAATACTGCTTATGTTTCAAATTGTAAGACACTTTTGGGGATATTTTGCTTTAAAAAATATAAGATACTTTGATAAAATAATGTTTTATTAATAATATTTTTTAATATTATCCTTCTCATTATATTCCATCTCTTTAATATTCTTTCACAAATAAAGTATTAAATGAAGAGCAATTTAATAAGTTTATATTTTTGTTTTAAAAATATGTTATTATATAGTATATTTAATAAGTTTTATTAGTATATGTAATTTTAACTAAAAGTGTCTCATAAATTGAGACAAAAGAAACATATAATAATAAAAAAAATTCAAAAACTTAAATTTTGAATTAACACGTGGTGTTATTTTGTGCCCATGTCCATTTGTGCATTGAAGGGGCAAGGTGTTTTTTTTTTTTTTATCTCTCTCTCTTTTGGGGATCAACATTATTGTTGATTAATTACAATTGCTTTGGGTTCAAGGTTTTTTTTGTTTTTGTTTTTGACCAAAGCTTTAGGTTCAAAGTTGGAAAGCAACTTTTTGGACAAAGTTTGAAAGTATTTTGTTAGAAAAAATGGAAAGTTCGAGAGTTCATTGGGCTTTACCCATGTTAACTGGATCCAACATATAAATGGGCCCCATATATCAATTATGACCCTCCTTTTTCTTTTTTGTTTTTGGTTATTCCTTGTTGGAATGGCAGGACTACCAAAATTTGTAAAATTGCTGATGATATATTTATCGCCCTGCAAATTTTAATTTGTACAAGGAGCCGGAGAACTTCTCTATAGTTGTTATATGCTTCTCTGCGTCGGCGCGTTCGTGATTGCAAAAAAATGTTTTTACTTTTTGCTTTTAAATTTTGATACTTTAAAAAAGTGCTAGATTTCTTTTATATAGAACTGGCTTTATTTCTTTAGACTTTATTTTTAGAGAAGTTATTGTTATGTTCATTTACTTGCAAGTCGTGCTTTTGTTAACCATGGTCATTTTTGTTCTTATAATCAATCCCCACTTTATTGTAAAATGGTGGTGGATGATGATAAAAAAAAGTCTTCCCATATTACCGAACATGATACCTTAGCTGACATCTATTGCCACTACCTATTGTTGTCTGTTACCACTAGCTTTCATTACTAGTTGCCATTAGGGGTCGTCATAGACCCGCTTGTCATTGTAATTGAACACTATTATTAGCCATCACTAATGGCAACCAGTATTGATTGTTATCAATAAGTTAAGCACCAAATTACCAGCAGTTGCCACTTGCTGTTAACTAACCAATTTTGGTCACTATTGACTTACCACTAATAATCATTGCCGCCATCATCAATCATTGTTCATTATCATCATCAATGGCAGTCAATATGTAATGGTAGCTCGGAGTGACTAAAGATGATGGTCAACGATGACTAGTGGCAACGACGATAGAGGTGATAAAAGACAATAATGACTAATGGTGATTGATGGTGGAATTCAAAAGAATTATTTTAATAATAAGTTTTTAAAATTCAAATTGTTTTTAAATAAATATAATCAAAAAAATTTTTAGTCTATTTTTAAAAATTAATTTATAAAATAGTTTTCAAAAATAAAGATTGAAAATAAAATAAAACAATTCCTAAATATTTTGATCATCAATTGCAAAATTCTCATAACTTTCACGGACTTCACCCATTTTTAGACTTGGCCTTTTCATAAACCCTGGCCCGTGCGCATCAACACTTACTTTTCTTAACTCATATTCCCATGACTAAAACGAGCGTAACAAATAAACTTAAAGATATATTATCCACATCTCTCAGCTTTGACCTAATATTTACCTTATATTTTTATTTCTTCTTAAATACATACACCGTATGCATTCACATTTATAAACATAAAGGCTAATCCAACCTAGCTACTAGCTTTTAAAACATCGCAAAGAAATTCCTTCGTAAAACCATCCATCCATTAAAAATGTAAAATCTAAATTATCATTTATAAAAGAATATTTGACTGTCCCATTTTAATTTGATGCGTGGTTAATTTAATAAATAAGAAAAACTATTCTTTTACACTTTTTGGCATATATCGTTGCTCTTTATCAAATTATGGTTGTCTCTTCTTAGTAATATTAACTTAAAAATAATATCGAATACGCCAAGCATATGTCACCATGAGACTTTTAGTCGTAATAAAAAAATAGCCATGCACACATTTTATTTCTCTTCAAACCCTTTCCACGTTTTACGTGGTGCATAACGTTAACGCATGCAACATATATATAGATGTGCCTTTAAACAAGAAACTTAACATCTTTATTCAATTTGAAGCGCACAGTCGTTCATATTTTACAGTTCTAGAGAGCAACATGATAGTACAACAAGTACAAACATAAAACCTCACCCGACATGAAATTAAAACAAAACATCACATTTGAAAGATCTTATTTATAGCAAACAAAATGATGATGGCATCAAGGAGCACTCTTTGACGGAGGGTGCTTGGGGTAATGGCCATAGGGTGGCTGTGGGTAAGTCGGAGGTTTTTCAATGGGGGGATGTTGATAGAATGGTGGTTTTTCAAATGGTGGTTTGTGAATGGGTGGTGGCTCATAAATTGGTGGATTCTTATACGGAGGGGGCTCATAAACTGGGGGCTTGTGGAACGGTGGTGGCTTTTCAAATGGTGGAGGCTCGTAAACCGGCGGCTTCTCAATTGGCGGTTTGTGAGTAGGTGGAGGCTCATAAATAGGTGGTTTTTCAAATGGCGGTTTGTGAATGGGTGGTGGTTTCTCATAATAAGGAGGAGGTTCATAAGTTGGTGGTTTTTCAGTTGGTGGAGGCTTCTCATGTGGAGGCTTGTGAATGGGCGGTGGCTTCTCATAAGGAGGCGGCTCATAAGTTGGTGGGTTCTCATGCGGAGGAGGCTCATAAACTGGTGGCTTGTGAACAGGTGGGGGCTTCTCATGCGGAGGCTTGTGAATGGGTGGTGGATTCTCATGTGGAGGAGGCTCATAAACTGGTGGCTTCTCATGAGGTGGTTTGTGAATTGGTGGCGGCTTCTCATGTGGAGGAGGCTCATAAACCGGTGGTTTTTCAATTGGTGGCTTGTGGACAGGCGGGGGCTTCTCATGAGGAGGTCTGTGAATAGGAGGTGGCCTCTCATAAGTTGGGGGATTCTCATGCGGAGGGGGCTCGTAAGTGGGTGGATTTTCAATTGGTGGGTGGTAAACATGAGGAGGAGGCCTGTAAATAGGTGGTGGCTTCTCCAGTGGAGGAGGCTCATACATGGGAGGTTTCTCAAATGGTGGCTTATGAAGGGGTGGTGGCTCCTCGAAAGGAGGCGGCTCGTAGATTGGCGGCTTTTCGAATGGTGGCCGGTAAGTGGGAGGCGGCTCATACACTGGCGGTGGCTTCTCAATGGGTGGGTGCCTGTAAATGGGTGGCTCCTCAACGGGTGGAGGGGAATATGTGGGAGGCTCGTAGTAGTAGTTACCGAAGCTTGGAGTAGTGAAGCTTGCCACCCCAAGCAGAAGCAGTGACAAGTGCAGGTACGACATTGTGTACGACGTTGTCCTGTGTTAACCGCTCCAAACGATGTTAGCATCTACTTATAGTGGCCATCATGCCGCCTATGTCGGCGAGAAGGCTCTCTATGTCAGATATTTTATTATTTACTGACACTGCAAAGACGAAAAAGTCAATCAGATTTGGTGGGATTTGAGATATCTCCACGACATTCTGATCTAATCATGACCACAATCCGCTAGTGTTGAGATTGCAACTTGGGGGAAAATTAGTGATTTAGATGTGTTAGAAAAATTAGACCCGATTTCATTCGACGATTCATGTGTCATTTCAAAGCCTATGCATGAAAGTGCTCTAGTTCCTACATAAATATCTGTTAATTATTCCGGTGAAACTGCTGGCTTTCTACTTCACACTGAAAAGAGAGAAGGAATCCATATCCGGCAACGCGATGCGAAGAATCTTGTGTATATATTATTGTTGTTATACCTTGAAGGAGTAAGATGTAACCAAAAACAGCAGTAATGAGCTCTGGCGAAATTAAACTGCAAGAACTTGAAAACTGAGCTGGATCTCTATCTATATGTATAGAAGAGCATAGTTTGATTTTACATTGGATTTAGATTATTGTCACACCGTACACGCAAGGCCGAGTGCAATGTTTCTTTACAAAATATAGCATACGAAACGCCTTGTCCAGGTGACTTCACGTCTTCACCCTTTGGCAGTTAACGATTGAGACAGTTTTTGTTATATATATGTACTAGTCCTTTTGTTTTTTGTTTTTTGGCCCCCCATCTTCGTTGAATTTTATGACTGTCTTTTCGTCCACACCCCAGACTATCTGATTCATATTTCCTAATAAGAGTGTCTCTGAATCAAAATATCAAGTGTATTCAGGTATTGATGTCTTGCGAATAAATTTTTTTAGTGATATCTTCGCTTCCGTACGTGGTTTCAAATTTGGTTTTGCAGGCATTGAACATTTAATAATATATTAAACTGATATTATCATTTATCAAAATATAATGATTGTATAAAAATTTTAGGAGATCTAACGTCGGATGATGTAATTATTTGCTTATATACCAACCATTTACAGTGAGGGATTTAAATAATTTAACATTTGGGGGCAAGGTGTAATTTTTTAATATATTTTCTGATGATCATGTAGAATCAAATATTATATTGAACCCAAGATGAGATAGCTTTTTTACAGTTATTTTTTTCTTTTGCACTACTCTAAAGGGGGTGTATACATTATTATTATTATTATTATTCCATCATGACCCTTGACACCGCTTTCCAGCTACATGACTTTTCTTCAGCTTATCGTTTAAATTGTCTTTTGCGATGGATCTTGAAAAAACACAAAATATATAGGCGGTAGCAGTTAGACTTACAGTAATAGCCCTCTTGCAGCGAAACTTCCTAAAGCAGCAAAAGCCATTTGATGCGAAACAAGGAAGAGAAAAGGGGGGGAGAGGGAAGAGAAAGGGGAGGAGAGGGAAAAAATTATATAACTCTTATTTAAATATCAAAAAGTGAATATAATGGAAGAATCCTAGAACAATTTATAGAGCCCTAAAATTAATAAAATAATAATAAATTTGAATTTAAATTAAATCATAATATAAAAGATGAAGATAAGGTATCTAGTTAGGCTAGATATCTTATTTTATTTAAGATAATACTTAAAGATAAAATAAATATAAGATACTAAATAAATAATAATAATCCCTAGATATTAAATCAAATCTTAATACTCTAAATCAAATCAAATACAATTCTCATCATTTTTCCTTGATTGAAAGAGCTCTCCACTGGAGAGGTAAATAGTTAGTAGTTGTTGAACAAAGTGGAGTCAATGGTGCAAAACTCCTCTGCAATGATCCATGTGGCATCTAAATCTGAATGACCCTTCCAACGGACAAGGTATCATTGGATGGGACCTGCTTGAGTGATAATTGTCTATTCATCTATGACAGCATCAGTTGTATCGGTAGGTGGCATAATAATAGGTAATGATGGAATTAGGGCATGTTGGGGTTGTGTACCTGTAGAGTCATTAGAAAGTAAAAGGAGGGGCTCAAAAGTACCCCAATAATGAACAAGATCCTCGTCATTAAATATTGGATTGATAGACATATTTGGAGGTAAATCTAACAAATAAGCATTGGGCTCTAGTTTTTTTTTTTGCAATGCGAAAAGGGCCAAAAGCACAAGCATGTAACTTCTTGAGAGAATTTCTCGGGAAGCGCTCTGGGTGTATGTGAGCCATAACGTAGTCTCTACCATTAAATTCTTGGGAACGATGGTGTGCATTGACAGCTAATTTATATGCATCATTACTCATTGCTAACTTACGCCTAATCTCAGGATGAAGGTTGTGGAGGCGATGGGCAAAAGCTTCAGCTGATTCAAATGTATAGGTTGTAAAAGGGATGGGTAAGAGGTCAATTAGTTGTTTGGGGTTGTACCCCTGAAATGGACTCCTACCAGTGGACCGATTGACTGAATTATTATAGGCAAACTCTGTGACCGATAATACTAAATCCTAACTTCCCAGTTTATCACCGACTAGACTTCTGAGCAAGTCACCTAAACTATGATTAGTTACTTTCATTTGACCATTGGTTTGAGGATGAAAAGCAAAGGAGAACTTTAATTCGATACTAAAGAACTTCCAAAGGGTCTTCCAAAAGTAACTAACAAATTTGATATCCTTATCCAAAACAAAAGAAGTCGGTAACCCGTGAAGATAAATAATCTCTTAAAAAAATAGCTTAGCAGGATGGGAGGCATCGTTGGTCTTGCTGTATGGTATGAAATAAGCTATTTTCGAGAATCAATCGATGACAACTAAAATCGAATCGTGCCCTCAAACTGTCTTAGGCAAACCTAATACAAAGTCCATACTAATATCCTTCCAGGGTGCCTCAGGAATTGGTAAGGGCGTATACTACCCTGTATTTCTTTTGTTTTTTTTGCCTTAGCAGTATGGCATGTGCTACATTGAGCTAAGATCCACACAACGTCTTGTTTGAGGGAGGGCTAATAAAACCTATCCTTTACCAAGGCTATAGTTTTTTTAATACCAAAATGTCCAGATAAACTGCTAGTATGTAACTCCTAGATGAGAAAATCATGCATTAAAGTGCAAGGGATGCATAGCCTAGAGCCTCAAAATAAGTACCTATTGAGGACCAAGAAGTCTGCATGTTCACAATGACAGCTATCATTGACTTCTTGATATATATAAGTCTAAAGTCAGGGTAAGTTGTATAATCATCCTTTAGTCTCTTGAATCCTATAGCACTAACGGTTAATGTGTTTAGAAGGTGGATTCTTCTGCTCAAGGCATCCGCTACCTTGTTCTCAACTCCAGCTCAATGCTTTACAATGAAAGTAAATTGTTGCATAAATTCAACCCACTTAGCATGTTTGGCATTTAAGTGCCTTTGAGAACTTAAGAATTTAAGTGCTTGGTGGTCTAAATATAGAACAAATTGTTAAGGTAGGAGATAGTACTTCTAATGCTCAAGTGAACAAACAATGACATAGAATTCCTTGTCATACGTTGAGTACCTTTGCCTTGCTTTATTGAGTTTTTCACTAAAGAATGCCACCCCTTCCTAGCTAAGGACACCTCCAATTCTTACACCTGAGGCATCACATACAACCTCAAAGTACTTGTGAAAATTAGGTAATGCAAGAACGGGGGCACTGACAACTTTTCTTTGATGGTTTGGAAGGCCTTCAATACGGCGGGAGTCCAACTAAATGTCTCTTTCTTCAAACAATTGGTTATGGGTGTCATGATGGTACTAAAGTCTCGTATAAAGCACCCATAAAAGGATGCTAGGCCATGAAAGCTTCGTATTTCTTAGAGGGTCGTCAATTCAGACCATTCTTGAATGGCCTTGACCTTATCTGGATTAGCGGATAAGCCATGTTTGGAAACAATGAATCTAAGAAAAGTGACTTGGCCTGTAGGAAGGAACATTTAGGGAGCTTCACATAGAATTGTTCCTCACATAAAATAAGGAGGACTTGTCAGAGGTGGACCAAGTGGTCATCCCTAAACTTACTAAATATCAATATGTCATCAAAGTATATAACCATGAATTTTCCTAAGTAAGGTCGAAATATGTGGGTCATAACTCTCATAAAGGTGCTAAGGGTATTTGTTAAGCCAAAAGGCATAACTAATCACTCATATAATCCCTTTTGGGTCTTGAATGTAGTTTTTTACTCATCTTCAAGCCTAATTCAAATTTAGTGATACCCACTTTGAAGATCAATTTTGAAAAATTAAGTAGACCCAGAAACTAAGTCCAGTATGTTGTCGAGCCTTGGGATTGGAAATCAGTACTTAATAGTTATCTTATTAATTACTCATCTATCTACACGCATCCTTTAAGAACTATCTTTCTTTGGGGTTAAGAGGGCAGGTACAACATAGGGGCTAAGACTATGTTGGATATAGCCTTTCTTGAGTAATCCGTTAACTTATCGATTTAGCTCATCTCTATCTTTTGGGTTCATCCTGTAGTGTGACAAGTTTAGAAGTGGTGATCTAGGAATTAAGTCTATTGCATATTGGATATCTCTCATAAGTGGCAATTCTGAAGGTAATTCCTTGTGTGACACATCTTTAAATTCATCTAATAACTAAGGCACTTCAATAGGTATAGGAGTTGGTGTGGGTTGAGTAATAACTTTTGAAATAATTGCAAGAATAATGTTAGCCTCCTTGCTTTCTTGCACAAACTGCTTCTCTATTAGTAAGTAGAGGTTATAACATTTTGATTTTGGACCTTTAGATTTAGGAGAACTCTGGCCTCCTGTTTTTGGTTTAGCAGGGCATAAAAGAATAGTTTTGCCATCATGTTTGAATGTATAGGTATTTGCTCAACCATGAATAGTGACATCAGGGTCATGGATCTAAGGTTGTCCCAATAAGATGTGCGACACGTCCATAGGAACAACAACAAAAAGAACTTCCTCTTGATAGTCACCTAAATGAAGGGGCAATCAGCATTGTTGCATTATAGGCAAGAAAGTGT